TATTTAACATACAAGGACCAAGGAACAAAAATCTGGATTTAAATTCTATCCCTAACCCAATTTAAACACTAACTTTAACCTTTAAGTATAGGTCGGGCCTATTACCAATTTTGCTTAGTTTGGCTGTAAAATGGTAACTAGTTAATTCATTTTATCTGCCTACATTCCCCTGATACCATGTGATTCTGAACTGAAGTTCAGTGGATTAATAGAAAATTTGTTGGGACATATCTCATATCCATACTGGGCAGATGTCCATCCTGATATATTAATATTGATTTCTTGCCAGGCTGTACTTGTAGTTTATTAGTTGCTCAGCTTTATGGATGTGGTTTCATGTGGATGTTGTGTTTTTGTTTTGCATTTTTTTTTAGAATTTACCCAATTCTACTAAACTTATTTATTGCAGCTGTTTTTTTATATCCAAACTAACAAATACTGTTTTATGCAGTTGTTTTAGACAACTATTATTGTAATTTTGTATACCCAGAGGGTACACAAAATAAAATTTCATTTTGTACAGCTTTCAGACAGTGAACGAGCATCAGTTTAGCAGTGAAATGAACATTTCTATTTCTTAAAGTGCAGCAGTGATCATAATAATACCACTTTAGCGATAGTTTCAAGGTGTTGCTTCATTGTATGTCTCGTACCATGTCTTTCGGTTGTGCTTTTCTTTTTTCATCTCGTTACAGGTGATGAAGCAGTCTGAAAATGTTTTGTCATTGTCTCCTTTCTATCTCCTCTTTCTTTCATCTTTTCTCTTTTTCTTTTTTTTTCTTCTTCTGTTTTTCTGCTCTATTTACATTGCAGTGTCCATATACACTGTAAAACTCCCTGCATAATTATAATAAAGCAATTTATATGCATGAAATGCCATACTGCTACAGTTGTGAAAGTAAAATCTGTTGGGCTCTTTTTGGCATCAAGACAATTATTCTTGTTGCCACATTGCAATGCCACAAGTGCAGCAGATCAAATGTAAACAGCGTGGGAGGAAAAAACAACAACAACAACAAAAAAAAATATGGTACAATAACCTTTGGATAGACCCGCCTTGGTGAGCCAGGCCAATGGCACTGAATGGAGTGGGGTTCTCATTTTCACAGCACTTCCCTCATGAGTGGAAATAAGGAGGTATATGTCTTTAAAAGGTTCCTGTTGCTTTCTGTGAAAATTACACTAATTTTAAGTCAAGGTATCAACATAATTTCATTGCTCTAAAAGTTCCAGCGTAACCAGTGTCTTAAATAGCACTCTCGAGGAAGCTTAGGTGTCATTCAAAAGGGTTGTAGGCCTATAAAATGAGCATATCAGGCTGATTTTCAGTGTAATAATGAATTGTTGTTTTTTTAGCATAATGATCCGTTACACTAAAATACACTGGTATGTGGTATCCTGGTGAAGGTTTTTAGGTCTGACGTCAGTGTATTTCAGTGTGACAAGCCGCTACTGTAAGATTTTGGGTTTTAGGCTGATTTCTAATGAGTCTGAAAGCTCTTTGATTGATATCTGGGCTCTCTACCAAAGGGTTCTGTCAGGCACAACCGCTTATTAGGTACCGTAGTTAATTTCAGAACAAAAAATTCATTAAAACGTTTCCAAAAAGTGAATTGAAAAAAATTTACTTTTTGTATAATGATATCCAGAGTAGCTCCATCTTTCCATAAGATTTGAGATTTGTATTTTTTTTACCGGCAAAAACAGTTGACTTAAAGCTACAGTGTGTAATAATTACAGGGATATACAGTCAGAAATGTAATATATTATACATAACTATGTTATTTATCATCATCTACGAGCTCAGCCTCTTAACCTTAATATTTGCGTTGCCTTAGAATTCGTTATTTATAATTACATAGGAGCGGGTCTCGCAGCCATGGAGGCAGACATCTTTGCGCAACGGCAGCGCAGAGCCAACAAACTAGCGATTGCGAGATCGCCCATTACGCTCGAAAGTAACTACCATTTATTATCTTAAGTCTACATGAAATCTATACCCTACACAGACTAATGAAATACTATCTGTAAAATTATCTATGTAAACAAACCTCATCACTTGAGAAGGTAGGTGATGCAGACGTCGTGGAAGACATTTTGTCCCGTAACGCTCGCCGTACTGTTGGGGGGGAGAAGCGGTGGGGGGGAGATGTTCATGTTGCTGCAGTCTGCAGTCTGACCGCTAGATGTCGCTAAAAGTTACACACTGTAGCTTTAATGAAAGAAATAATTAAATAAGAGCGGACCAATAATGAAGGAGGAAAAGTGTGCACACTCCTAAATTGTTAGTTGTTAAAACCAATTTTTATTTCTTTTTTTTCCCCAGGAGAAGTCAAGAGATATTTCAGTGCAAGACTGCGGCACCATAGGTCCTAAAAGGAGAGTTATCACACATCCTTTCTCCCAGCAGCTGCAACTACAGTTCCTCATCTCTGCATCAAACAATTTCAAAACTGTCACATTGATTTTTTTTTACATTATATGTAGTCTATTGCTCCTTTTATGCACAAATACATATGTGCATTATGCACACTTTTAAAACACACTTCATTTCAGTAAACCTGAGTATACATTTTTTAATAACTGCAGAGGATTTTTTTTTCTGTTGCAAACCTTTCCCTTTACCTGCTTCTTAATTTCCCCACTGTGAGAAAACAAATGATTATTCTGTTCCATCTAATAAAACCAGGGTATTGCAGCATTGTGCGTTTCATATAGTCTCTCAATAACATTGTTTTTTTGTTGTTGTTTTTAATGTCACCGAGCACAAAAAGCAAAATATCCAAGCTTTGCTTGCTACAGTATACAATGCAAACCCTTACATTTCTTTGGGTCAATTCCCTGCATTAGAATATGCCACACCCACTGACATCTAGTTTGTAACAAACAAAAAAGTGGAATCTAGGCAGTTGGGGTTTGGAGGAGTGCATAACCTGGATGGACAGGAACGGCAGCCTGAAATATATAGGTGCAAAGTGTGGATTTTACATTTTTGTATTAGAGAGGGGAAAAGGGAAAAAAGAAAAAACACTGTAAATGCATGGGCACAATGTGATCTTAGAATATGCAGCTGGAGGTGAATAATTTATATGCTTTGTGCCAGAGTGCCCTGAGCTGTGTGTGAAATCAGTGGAGCCATTACCGTGGAGGTAAAGCAGCATTGCTCACTGTCCAAAGATCAGACGCTCGTTTGGTTACTCTGTGGTGCTTTTGGTGAACTTATCACTTTCTTGCTCCAAGAAGGGGGAGAAAAAACACGACTGTGCATCCATTTTTCATTTAAGGGGATAAAACTGGATTAAGTCTTGTGGATAATCCACAATGTGACAAATGTCGACAGCTGCCTCCACTGTCATTCTCAAGAAGCTCAAGAAATGAGGCGTTTTTGTATGTTTTCATGAAGAAAAGCCTCAGCAAAGCACTTAGTTGATGATTCACCGATTGCCTTCACTGATTGTTTAAAATAGCGAACATTAACATAAGCTTAAGAAAAAACCCAACAGTTAAACACTGACTTGCGTGTTAACTATTGCGCGTTATGCCACTTTAGAATGGAAACGTGCAGAGCGCAGAGTCACGCACGCTTCTCCCATATTAGTAGGGGGAAAAAAGCGGAGAAAAATCATTTCTTCACCCTGTGGTTTTATCTTAAGTCTATCTGCTCTCTGAAACCTTCCACCTCAGATTAAAACAGTCGAGTTGAAGCTTTGATGTTTTCTCTGCAAACCCAGCTCCCATTGAAAGAAAACAGCACCGGTGCGCAACAGTAACAACCCAATATTCATTTATTTCATTAACTTCTCTTAAGAGTTCAAACGCATCACTAAGCTTGTCTAGGATATAGCGTGGATCTCTGTGGACAAGCATTAAATTTCAGAAAACATTCATCGACTCAAGTAGATAAACAAGTCGCAACACAAAATCCACTCAATTTCACTCCAGCTCAATTTTGTTTTTCGTGCTCCTTCTTGCACAAAATGCCACATGATGTTTCGTACTTGCTTTGCAAAGCAAGTTATTGTTTGTTTGTTTACAATCTACTGATAATTTCTGCAAATAGGCTACATTTGGCTTGGATTTCCCAGTAAATTGATATTTATTTATTGATTAGAGATCGACTGGAATTAGAACCAGAATTTTAAAAGCAGGGCGCATTCGAGCCTATATATTTTAAAAAATGCTATGCAAATACAGTAATGTGTATTTATAAACACTTGTCTTGTCATTTATCTGACCACAAGAAAAAAATAGATATGGTTTATTATTTGGGCGCACAGATATGAAAAAGGCGCACAAAGAGCGCAATGCCTCAATATTAAATTCAGAAAGATGAGATCAATCACGAAACAAACAGATTAGAAAGGGGTCTTATTAATCAAAACATATCGGCACAGTTATTGTCAACAAATATGCAAACGTAAAAGCAGTCACAATTTTTAACTTGATGATCACAAATGAAATGAACAAAGTTGCGTGTGCAGTTTGCTCTCACACGGTAAGGCTGCTGCATGGAGGACTTTCCACGCTCTGCTGCTCTCCGATTTACAGCTCTGTCTGTTCTAAACATGCAACAAAGTAACCTTTCTGACTAAACAGTCACAGTTAAACCACGGAGAGCATCCGAGCATGTTTCTATGTTCAAAGCAAAGAGAAACATTTATTTATTTTTTAGCAACATTTGCTTAAATGAGTTGAATGGGGAAAAAAGAGGTTTAGCCTCCAGCCAAATGGTGAGCGGTCCAAAGTGATGTATCGGCTAAGCAGCGCCTCTGCAACGCCAAAAACACCCAAATCTACCCCGTTCTGCGCAACGCTTTAACTTTAGGGACGTGTTTTCTCACTTGGTGCAAAACATATCAGCTATATCCAAACAGCTCAGCCGCGCACGGATCCAAATAAATAAATAAACTGCTTATATGGACACTCCTCCGCATCTACATCCGCGGAAATGCGAGAACAAAGGGCGTCCTCCGTCCACAGACAAGCAGCAAAACTCCTACCTTGGTGAAGAGCCGCTGGGAACACGAAGAGAAAGAGAATAGTCGCCAGAGAGCCGCTGCGAGCGTTCGCCATGTTGGACACCTGCTTCCGAATGGCAGAGAGAGGCAGCTTCACCTACAGCGGGACTTGCTTAATGAGATGCGGACAAGGAGGGAGGGTTCTAGCTTGCACACATTCACTTCTTCCCAGCAGGGATACACTGAGCTGCTTGTCGTGGACGCGCTTATATAATATGTACAGATTTAAATTTAGTCTGACCGAAAATATTTTTTATTCAAGGCTTTGCTCAGAGGAAATTAAGCAGTTCTTGTTTTTTTCTTAATCATTCCATCATCATGAAAAGCCATGGCATTTAGTTGTGCTTTTTGCATATCATTGAAATATAATCAAAGACTCCATGGGAAATATGAATGTTTTTCTCACACCTAAATGTTTTAGATCAAACAATTCAATAATACAACACTCAGTCACTCACTTTTACAAATTTATAATAGAAAAAAAACATCCAAACCAATTTTCAATATAGTTTATTACTATAGTGCCACAACACAAGTCATTTCAAAGCACTTTACAGTTCACCAGATCATACAGTCAAAAAGATTGCATTGACTCATTGACTCTTCAGCAATCCCTCACACTTAGCATGCTTGTAGCGACAGTGGAGAGAAAAAACTCCCTTTTAACAGGTAGAAACCTCCAGCACAACCAGGCTCAGTGTGAGCGGCCATCTGCTGAGGCCCACTGGGGTTCAAGGAGACAGAAGCAGAGATACAAAAAGCAAAGACGGCCCCATCCAAGAAACACACAGCCAGGCAGGCAAGCTCTGAGTCAGCTCCCATGTCAGAGGATGAAGAGAGCACATCCAGTTAGTCACAGTTAGAGAAACAGGACTACACTGAAAAACAGGCTGATCTCCAATATCTATAAACAAAGGTGTTGATGGCAGCAGCACAGCTGATATTTCCCTCCAGGATGGAGTCACAGCCAAACAGGGACGGAAGAGGCAAAGCTACTATGAGAAAAGGCAGACAGAGCAGAACATTAAAGATTGAACTAAGAGATTCTGCAGAGTGGTAGAATAGAGATAGAATGAAGCAGGATGATTACAAAGGGTTAGCCTATACCAGCATAACTATATCTCAAGAGATAGCTCAAGATAACCTGAGCCTCTCTAACTATAAGCTTTATAAGAAAGGAAACAGTTTTAAGTTAAAAGTAGACAGGGTGTCTGCCTCACGGACTAAAACTGGTAGTTGGTTCCACAGGAGAAGAGCCTGATAACCAAAGATAACATAACTACCATTTGTTAATTTATTATTTAACCATTTCCCCATTAAGCTCTACTAACCTAAAGGCATTTTACCCAACACTCCTATAATAAGAGGACCAAACAGTATGTTGAGAAATAGCCTAATATGTCTAAAAAATCAACTCAAGGAAGAACTGTCTGTCAGACTAGAAAGGGTAAGATCGCCATTTTTTAGGCTTAGAGATATCAGAGAACAAAAGCAAGAGTCATCACCCATAAATGGAGAAAACATGAAACAGAACAGAACCTTCTCAAAACTTCTGCAGGGAACTATCCAAGAAGTTACAGTAAGCCCACAACAACATCTAAAGCTCTGCAGACCTTACCTACCTTAAGTTAGTAAGGTCAGGGGTCAATATTTATATCCTATCCACCCAAAATTGGAAAAATATCCTTTGGATTGAGAAAAAAAATGGGAAAAATATCCTTTGGATTGAGAAAAGTGGAAATATCTAAAATGTGTGATATATATATATATATATATATATATATATATATATATATATATATATATATATATATATATATATATATATATATATATATATATATATATATATATATAAATATATTAGGGCTGCAACAATGAATCGATAAAAATCTACTTTTAAAAGCGTTGGCAACGAATTTCATCATCGATTAGTTGTGTCGTGCGATTAATGCGTCATCCGCCGCCGTCGTCATTGCCGTGGGGCACCTCCCCCATCCCAACCCTGTTCTCCCGCGGCGCTCCCGCAGGAGTCCCTCTCAGCGCTGCAGTCAGAGCCGCAGGATTGTAAATGAAGCGCGTATGCGCCGGGATTGACGGCGCAAATTGATCACAATAATTAAAATAGCCTGCGCTTTGTAAAGCGAAAAAAGTCGTAACATGCAACTTTTGAAAAAACAAATTAACACGGAATGGAACCACCATGTTTTTTTTGTTTTAAAGTGGGGAAACGTAACGTTAGTTTCTCAGGTAGCTCATCTGATGCTTTCCTTACCGTGTTAGTAGGTTACAGACAGTGATAAGGTTGGCTACTTATTTTACTTTTAATTTCATTAGAATTAGCTTAAAGGTACACTATGCAACCGGTGTTGATTTTCCAGTGAGGCTCCCTCCAGAGGGCGAAAGTAAAAGTGCACTGTCGTAAATATGCACAGCTGTTCTCCTGGTTTCTCCGTCAAGCCAGGCGCGGTTGTTTTGAGCTTAGCAGCGAATGACTAACGCTGCGTTCACACTGGACGTAGCTGGCGCGACAGAAGCAGCGAGTTTACATGCAAAGTCAATGGTTGACGCGCGTCAAGGCGCAGCAAAAGGTCCCGCGGCGCGTTTTGAGCACCAGGCGCAGCACGTCTGAGCAGCTGAAGCAGCGCGTCGGGTGCGTTTAACGCAGGGAGAGAGACACAGCGCTGATGATCTCTCCTCTTAAACAGTTTATTGACGCCTAAATTAACTTAAAATGCAGAAATCTGCCGGCAGAATATGCAGTTTGGATTATTTAGATGAAAAACACCTACCAGCTGCCGCGGTGAACCGCTGCTGATGAAGGGATCCATACTGTTGGCGCCCCGCTGGTATGTGGGGGTCTGAGCGGCTCCGACAGAAAAAATATTGAAGGCAGGATAATAATCTGAATGAACTGACTGCACTGATTACGTTTTCAGGTGTATTTTCTCACTTAAACACATATTAAAACTACTTTATTCCCACTGATCACAGCAAATATAGCTGCAAGGCAGAGAAAGGCTAGTGAAGCTCCGCCCAACGCGCCTCAGACACAGCCGGAGCAGCAAAGCTGCTTCAGCCACGCGTCAGAACTAACTGGTACAATCAGCAAAAATGAAGCAGCAGACGCGATTTTGCTGCTTTTGCTGCGTGAACGTAGCATAACTGCACAAAGATTGCCACTGTGCTAGCAACGAGAATGCTTTTAACTGGGGGCGTGTAGCAGTTCTCGCCGTAAAGCAAGACTGACTCTCACGAGACTTCTGAGCCTGTGGGTGCGGGTCGGTGCTCCTGCAGTTGCAAGTGCAGTATTTCCCCCACAGACCACCAGGGCGGCCGAGAATACCTTTGTTCAACCTGAAATGACTCATTTAATCATCCAAAACGTTATGGAACACATTAATTAACTGAAAAATGTTGCATAGTGTCCCTTTAAGCAGCGTTTATATTTTTTTTATAAATAAATTAACTTGCAAATTATGAGGGCAAGGCTTTTAAAGTTTAAATCTTCTGGCAAAGATAAAGTAAAGATCCTGCAATTTATGGAAGTAAAGCAGAATAAAATCCAGCAAGATCAGTAATATGTCAATTAATTATATGCCACATTTCCATGTAAATATCTGTCTTTGGAGGATGTGTTTTTTAGCACCCCTAGTTCTCTCATTTTTATTCCAAATACAATTTATAATTTGAATCACAGGGCTATTTTTATCTCTATGGTTCAGTATTTTCTCAAGTAGCAACTTTAACTGCTATACTTTCCTGTCTTAAAAGGCAGAACTCTTCTAGTCTAAAAAACCTCATTTGTTGAAATGCTGGGGCCTATTGTTTGAACCCCTTAGGGGCTTTTAAAAACAAAACTACCTGTCTTTTTTGCGCTTTATGAAACAAACTACCCTATATTTTGTGGATGTACAGCTACATTTCTCATGTAAGTTTGCATAGTTTTAACACAAACATTTATTTTTCATATTGCACCAGTACAGTTAATGAGCAACCTGTACTTGTGTGCTTGTTTGTTCTGTCTAAAAATGTTTATTTTGGAATAAAGAGGTTAATATAAAAAATATTTTTTGTCCGATTCATCGATTAATCGAAAAAATAATCGGCCGATTCATCGATTTTTAAAATAATCGTTAGTTGCAGCCCTAATATATATATATATATATATATATATATATATATATATATATATATATATATATAATTAACTATAAATAACTAATTGTCTTATTTTAAGAATAGAAATGCTCATTCCATTGGCAAATCATCTTATTTAACTACTTAAATTAGGGGGGAAATCAGTTAATTAAAGAAAAGTTTGTTTTTTTTTTTAGATAATTTTTGCACTTTAAAATGAAAAATGTATTTGCTGCTGACCAGGCCAGTAGGCAGGTCATCAAACTGGCCAAAGAAAGAAATACAAATACAACACAGACAGTAGCCATAGTGATGGGGACCTCTCTGACAGCAGTGAGGTGTCGCTGTCACAGATCAACAGTTCAGAGCACCATTATCCTATTGAGTCTTTTAACAAGTTTCATTAGCAGACCAAAGGGTTAAGAGGCATAAAGTTTGAAATCTTTGTTTTTTTTCCCTCTAAATTTAAGGACCTTTTATTTCTTTGAAAGTTATATCAGAAGAAAAGAAGAGTCTGGTGTTTCTGATCAGGAGGTTAATAGTCTGAAAGAGATGATGGAGAAAGTCAGAAAATACTTTTGGGTATAATGATGTGCGTCAGCTTTTTATCTAAATTTTTTTGTGTTTTGTTGTGGTGCCACTTTTAGCAATTTACCTAACACAATAACTTTGAATTAGCTAAATATAAATGCACCATGATATATTAAAAAGCACTGCCTAAAAGAATCAATATGTTATTTTTACAAGAAACCCATAGTGAATTTAATAATGAAGTGGACTGGTGCCGAGAGGGGAAGGGAGAAGCCGGTTTTATTCATGGCACCTCCCAGAGTTCTGGGGTGGACCAACACTCTTCTAAGGTTTTTACCCCAAACCCTTTTAAAATACAGCATATAATCTAAGGAAGGTTTATTTTAGTTAAAGCAGGGAGGAAACTTTTTTAGAGGAAATTTGGAAAAGGTTGGCAGATTTGCTTGTCAAAACATCATGCATTTTTAGGTGGGCATTTTTATTGTACAGGAAA